CGGTTCTACAAGTCACTGAGAACGGAGGCTTTTCTTCGCAGGATTTTGACCGTTTCACTCCGTTCTTTCGCCATTTCCCCACTATACAGCGCCCTACTAGCATTTCAGGCTAAGTAGGAAACCATCGTGCCAACTGCCTTTAAATAACGCTTGTACACAAATTTTCTGCGTTGGTGATCGCGGCACTTCATGAATGAGCCATCAGCTAAAGCTGAGCGCATCCGTCCTGTCACGAACGATATGATATTGTTTTGCGGGAAGAAAAAAAAAGTGGGCCAAACCCATCCCCTTGACACGCCCCATCATTCGCCAAGAATCACAGCATACCAAGGCGTGAAAAGTGCATAGAACATAGGCTGAGAACTGCTTAAGCAGACAAAAGAGCACTTAAAACAGTGAGCTGCTGAGAATACGTGCAAAATGCTACAGCTGCGGAAAAAATCTTAGGAACAAGCCACAAAATCCGTTTTAAACAGTTGAAGCTCTTATTCAACAGCAAAACAGTGGAAAGGTAAGCAGATAGCGGAAATTCAACAAGAAGAAACTATTCAGCGCTCTGAATTTGGTTTGCTTACTACTGCTTGATTAGAGCCTTCATCGTCAGGGGTTCAACTCAACTGCACGGGAGTTTCGGGGGTATCCACCAATATTCGCTTCTAAATTCCTCAAAATGCATGCAACTGCTCACTCTTGTTGGCGGTCTTCTTTCCTTCAACTCATGCCTCAAGTAATCTCAAAATGCCTGATGTTGTTGAGGTGAAGGCCTTTCCTGGGTCGTTTTGATATCCTGATGCTGACCTTGGGTCCGGAAACTAGATCTCACGTACTGTCGTATCTGCTTAGGGTCATTTTTACTGATATGGAACAGTTCTCTAAGGCATAACCTATATCCACGATATTTTTGTACACAAGCAAAAAAAAATCAAGAAACAACTTAATAGAAAACTCCGATTTTTTTTGGCTTGTTCCAGGTTTTTTCCGCAGCTATATATCACGAATGGTGGCAATTTACATCTGAAAAGCACTTCGAACACGCATTACTTATAGAATAGCCAGTAATCCCCTTCAAAGGGTGAATGACAACGTTTCATGAAGTGGTGAGCGAATAGATGAACATGAAATCTTAACTGGATATCTAGGTAGGGAGGCCACGGCAGCAAATGGACAGGAGGCGTGACGTCCATAGGGAAATTGGACCCGTTATGCCGCGGGAATAAGGCCAGGTACCAGTAAGTCTAGATATCAAGTCAGGTGAGAACTTTAACTACTAAAATAACACCGAATTGAAACGAATGTGTACTCGGATGGGGGAATATTACGACCTGTTGAATTTGAATATCGATCAGTTTCTGTGCCATTATTGTGAATGTATCCAAATTGTATTTCGAAATTCTTTGCATAACCATATTGTCCCAATCTCGCCACGTGGCACTTGCGTAGGTCGCATTCGGGTCAGAATAATTAGCCGATGATGAAACCCTTGGCACTTACCTTGTAATCCAAATCATCCTAGCGCTTAGAAAGTTCACAAGGTTCCCAGGTGAGCTTATATGATGCTTTAGGCTCTTATAACCTTGGAGTGGGTCTTTGAAGGACTCCTTGTGCAAAACAAGTTATGGAGCTGAGATTTTTGCCTAAGCCTAATGAGAAGGAGTTTCAACTGCGGTAATTCTACGCGGATGACACTTGTCTCAGTCTTGCGCACAAGGTGTCCCTTAAATGCCCCTCCAAGGTAAGTAACTCCACGATTTGTTCGCTATATGTTTTCAGTGTGTTTCTTCTAGTTCTTGAATGTGCTTTATAACACTCCATTATACTTCCACGATTTCTGTTGTCAAATCATGGACAACCAATAACCATTAAAATAGGAACAGAGTACAAATTTGGAAAAAGCTGGCTTCCGCACAATATTTTATTCCTATTGCTTGGCACCCGTGGATGCTATAATTTGACTGCTCAATGTAACACACTACGGACTAGTCCCGATTGAGTCCTAGAGTTCAGTAGGGCCACTTCTGGTTAGTGTCGAAGGGGAATGGGCTATCGATTCTATATGTCTAGCGGGCACTAATCAACTATTACTACCAAAGTTTTCCGAAAATAGGCCAGATTTGACCGAATTTTCTAAGAAGGGCAGATTCGGCTGGGAATTCGGTCCTAGTGGTAGTTTGACCTCCTCAACACGAATATCACATCCGCTTGACCTGTAACTGCCTGGCCCCACTTGTCTCCAGGGATAGCTGGACTTCCTGAACGCGAATATCGACCTGAAACTGCCTGGCGCCCACGCCTAGGCCCCGGCGCCAAAGTACCTTAGGTCACCAAATCCGCTGAAAACTTGTATACGGAGGTTATTTGACATCCTTATTACAAATCACATTCATTTTCGGCGCTGGCGCTGATGGAGGGCACTACGACCATCTTCGCCTGCTAAGTCTGAGCCTGGCCCAAAGGCAATCACTCCTTCTCCCAAGCTGGCCCTAGATGAGCACTAGTAGCGCTGGTGTCGAAAAATAAATGTCAAATTCGTGAGCAGGGCAATAAACAGCCCTATTATGCAGATTTTTGATGAAAAAGGGTGGCGCCAAACCCGCGCCTAAAGGCGCGAAATGACCTAGGGCTAAAAATTATTGTCACGTTCGTGATCAGGGTACCAAATACCAGTACGCAAATTTGAACCAATTTTTTTTGAGGAAAGTGGTGGCGCTATATTGGCACCTGTTGGCGTCAATGGCGCCACCGTCGAAAATGAATGTTATACTCGTTACCAAGATATCGAATTACCCTTATTGGCAAAGTTTCAGCAAAAATATTCTTGAGTTTTTGGGGTAGTAATAGATGAATAGTGCCGGTTGACGTTTTGTCATTCTATGGCGCCTGTGAATCATTTGACCCATAAGCATGGGTATCGGCTAGGAGATCCACATTGCGGCGACTCGCGTCGCAAGTTGACCTAGCTGATTTATCTAAAGGCGGAGCCCACAATCCCATATGATAATCTAAGCTCTTCCTAGGGGCAAGTAGTGAGGACGCACCGGACAACGCTGTAGGAAGTTTCAAGTCAGAAAGTCGTCTGGTAGCGGCTCAAGGGACAAGGTTGCTTGGGAGACTCCGCCAACTTTGACAGATGTCTTATCTGCTGTCTTGTCCGTTTGCTTGATCTCTCGCCGCTTTCTCTGACCTCTCGCCCGGTATCCACATTGATTCTTTGTCTCTCGCTTGGCTTAGGTAGGGCCTTATTTAGTTTTCACCTTTGTTCTTCATGGGCAGGTCAACTAGCACAAACACTTATGCTTCTGACCCAATGCCTGCGAACTTTTCGCTGGCTCATTGTGAAGTTTGCCCTTAACTCCCTGTAACCGTGGCTTTTTCAAAACTTGACTGCGACATTCCCTGGTGGTTCCAACCCCTCTTCAAATGTTGAGAACGCCGCCAAGATGTATGGTGCCTTCGTTGAATTTAATATTTTTGCTGTAGCCATTGATTTGATGAATTATTTATTGAGCGAATCTACTTGGCATATTGCCTTCAATACACAGTACATGTGCGGGGGACCTGGATAGTCTCGACGAATGAAACGGGGTAGTGCTTGAGGTCGACGACATGGTTGCGGACCTTGTGGAGGAGCTCGCGAGCCTCACGAGATGAGCGTGGCAGGCAAGTGAAGCGGACCTTCTTGTCAATCACCTCATCCATCTTCTTCGTTCTTGCGGCACTTGCGAACTGGTTCGAGGGAGAAGCAGACACGGTGAGGGAATTCCATCACATGGGTCTTCTCCAGAATCTCTGCAATAGCAGCAATTATTATTGAGTAGTGACTCAAAGGTAGGTTGCTGACAACTCACCCTCCTCGTCCTTGTATCTGTAGGTGCGTTCCTTGTCCTTGCGTCTGTAGTCATCCTCGAAGATGTCGTCGAGCCAGCGATCCTCATCCTCGTCGCGCTCCTCACGCTTCTCCAGCTTGTAGTGCTTCTTCTCACGGAGGTAGTCCTTCTCGACTTCGCACTGAAATCTCTTTACTTAGGGGATGTCAATCTCTTCAGGTAATCTTCAAGTAAGAACCTCATCGTCCAGGAGGTACGACTTGTGGAATTCCATGATGTCGTCGGTGTACTCCTTCTTCGGGGTGTAGAAGTCGTTGTCCTTCTGAAAAGTCATCTTCTTGGGCCAGACATCATAACCCTTGAACTACGGTAGATACCTCCTCGTCGAAGTGTCCCGCAGAGGCCGCATTGTCTCTCAGTCATGTGTTTGCCCATGTAGACCTTGACGTTGTAGCCATCGAAATGAACCATAAGGTCCTCCAGTCTTACGCGGACCATGTCGTCTTCAATCAGCTCGATGCTAAAATATAAAGCTCATTAACAAAATAAGTCCCCACTGAAGGGCAGCGTTCTTACTTGTACTTCTCCAGTTCCTCCTTGTTGATCTTCTCGTTGTCAACAGTGACCTTGAGTCTGTCGTCAACCATTTCGACAACGATGACCTGCTCGCGCTCGTTGATGATCTTCAGCTTCTGCAATTTGAATAATAATATTAAACAGTCGTAAAAGATGTGGTAGCTTGAGAAATACCTTCATGTCAGAGTCCTTCTCGATCTTCTTGACCATGACGACGAAGCGTGGCTCCTCAGAGCAGTCCTTAGCGATGACCGAGTAGCAGTTGGTAATTGGGGCGCGGAAGATGACGTCGTCAAAGGTCCTGACTTGGTGCTCTTCACCTCACAGACGGGCTCGTTCACCTCATATCGGATATCGCGCAGGGTTCTCTTGGCAATGGTGGGAAGGTACAGCTGAGGAACAACGTAGTCAACCAGTTCCATGCGCTCGTATGGAGTCTCAAGCATAACGTTGATCAGGTTGCGGGTGATAGGGTCAACATGCAGCTTCAGGAAGAGCTTGTCATCCTCACGGTTGAGCCTGGTGATCTTGTTGTGCCAGATGGTGTATCCCTTGATGTAGTTGTAGATGTGCTCGAAGATGTTCTTCATGTATGGGGTGAGTTCGTGGTCAACGACAACTTTGAGCTGGTTGAGGCGTGCAGCCTTCAGGAGAAGATCGTAAGCGGTAAGACCCTCGTGCTTCTTGTCGACCAGCTTCAGCCATTTCTTCTGCTCCTTGTTCTGCTCCAGTTGGATCTTCATCTTGAGTTCGTTCTTCTCGTCAGCTCCCCATTTCATCTCAACCAAGTCCCTGGAACTTCACGATGGATCTGGTTCTTGAGCTCCATCAGGGACTTTGGCATCTTTGGCAGAACGAATTGCATGTGCATCATGAACTTCCATTCATGGCGTTCATCACCGATGGGAGAGCGCTTGCCTTCCACGGTGTTCTTGCAGTAGCGGAGCTCCTCGTCGCAAACAGTCACGATTTCGACATTTCCGTAGTGGTGCACCGGTGAGTCAACGGTTTCGACCTTCATGAGCAGGCGGTGTCTGTAGCCATCCTTCCTCTCGATGTCGCGAACATTTCTGTGGAAGTACTCACGGCGCTCTCTCTCCTCGAATTTCTCATACTCGTTGGTCTCAACCTCGAACTCCTTCTCGAAGAGGTGGGTGAAGTCGATCTTGTCAAGGCGAACGTTCTCGAGTCTGCCGCTGTTCAGGAGGAAACGAATTCTCTTTGGTGCCTCACGAGTGGGAATCAGGACGAATTCCCAGTCGTATTCGCCGAGGAGGAGGTCACGCATGTTCCATTTGTGGAGCCAGTTTCCGCGAAGGACAGTCTTCATTCCCCAGATGTTGAACATCCACTCCTTCTCAGTGTTGAGGAACTTCCATTTCGGCATAACAATGGTCTTCAGCTCAACCTCAGTCTTGAACTTCCTCTCGCCACTGTAGAAGCGGAAGAAGGTCATTGGTCTCGAGGTGTAGTGAACCAGAGTCTTCTCCTCAGTTGGCATGTTGAAGGTCTTCCTAATTTCGAGTCCGTTCTTGTAGTTCATTTCCATTTCAACGTCGATCGGGAGGCGGGCCTCAATGGAGCGGACGAGTTTCACTCCCTGTTCGAAGAGCGGGTTCCACAGTCTCATCTCTGCAACATGGGTGTTGACAACAGATGGCACGGTGTTCAGACGAACGCGGACTCCAGTAGGCACCATTTCGATGGTGAACTCTCCTTCAGCAGACATGACAGTGGGCAGCTTGTTCTTCAGGATCAGAGGCAGACCGAGAGTAGTGGGCAGCTTCCTGATAGTCTCATAGAAGAAGGTGAAGGTGTGGAGGTTGAACTCAGGCTCACGGCTAAGGAAGCGCTCGATTTCTCTCTTCTCAAGTCTTCCCTCACGGATGAACTTCTCGAGCAGTTCGTCAATGATCTTCTCGTCGATTGGGAGAACAGCGTAGTCCATCTCCTTGTAGCGGAGGTAGAGCATGACGAATGGAGTTCTGTCGTCGATGACACGTGGGCGGATGTTGAGCTTCTTGGCGATGTCCTTCAGAAGGGTCAAGTGTCTTCGCGAATGCGGCGTCCGCGCACCACAGTGTTCGAGGTCTTCTTCCATCTTCATCAACTTCTGGGTCAACTTGTTCAAGATCTTCTCGATGTTCTGCTGACTGATTCCGAACTGGAAGAAGTACTTGTTCCACATTCCGGTGAACAACGGTGTCGAGCTTGACCATCAGCTCTTTGGGCCAGGCGCTGTTCTTTCCGAAAATGGTGGCAAAGTCGAAGTTGACGCCGGTCATCAGTTCCTCCTTGAACATTGGCAAGTTCTTGTAGGTGCTGGTGAGGACGCGTTCTCCGCGCTGGTAGCGAGTCATCTTCAGAAGCGGGAGGATCTCAGAGGCCAACTTCTTGTAGTAGCGGTGAGTGGGCTTGGTGAAAGAGTGGAGCAGATCATAGGTGAAGCTAGTAACCTGATGGTTGGGGTCACGCTCCATAGTGGAGATGATCTGAGCGATGATGGATTGGCGAGGAAGGGTGTGCATGATGCGGACAAGAGCGGCCATTCTGAGCTCTGGCTCTTCGACGCGGCTGTTGTAGACTGGCATGAGGATGGTCTGAATCTTGCGTGGCATCGTGTCCTTGAGGAGGCGCAGAGCGTCGATGGCTTCCATGCGGACGAGAAGTTCCTCACGCTTGTTCAGGATGATCTTCTCGAGCTCATAGACGGAGAGGTCAATTCCAGCGTTGGCAAGGGACTTCAGGACAAGCACCTTCTCGTAGATGGTGTCAGCCTTCTCGTACTCCTTCATCATGATATTGAGGTATCTGTGCTTGAGCTCACGAACGTCTTCCTTGAGGAGGGTCCTTTCCATGTTCTTTCCAACAACGCCATACATGACAGATCCGATGGTGAGCCAAATCGACTGGCGGATGACAGGCGAGCGCTCGACGACCTCGTTCTCGGCGAAGCGGATGAGTTCATCGACGATCTTCGGTGATGGGTATGGAGTTTCCTGGATGGACTTGAGGAGATGGACAATTCTGTAGGTCTTGAAGTGCTTCATTTCCATGTGGTGAAGGAGGTGAGTGATGGTGTTCTTTGTTCCAGCAATAGCCAGCGTTTGCTCAAGCATGCTCTTCAGGCGCTCGTCAACGTTCATGTAGATCTCAGTATGAACAGTCTTCAGCTCTTCCCTGGTGAGCATGCGGAGAACGGAAACAAGGCGGGAAAGGAGGTGAGTAGTCTCATGCTTGTTCACCTTCAGCTCCTTAATCTCATCCATGATCTTGCGGATAACCTCGATCTTGTCCTCAACCTTCTCGTATGGCAGAACCTTGACGTCGTCTCCGTACATGTAGAAGCGCTCAACCTGCTTCTCGATTTCGTCGGAATAGATCAGAGTCTCCTTCTTTCCATCGATCCATTCGAACTCACGGCGGATTTCCTTGATGTCCTCCAGAGTGAGTCTGGTGCGGATCTCGGTCTTCATGACTGGCTGGTTCTCGATGGTGACCGTGTACATAGAGCGGACCTCGACCTTCTTGAGACCGTCCTTCTCGAGCAGGTAGTTGTAGACAGTGCTTGGCTCAAGAATATCCTTCTCCTTGCATTCGGGGCACTCAGTCAGATAGCGGAAGTTGTACTTGGCCACTGGGCGGCGAGTGCACTTGTCGAAGTTCACGACTTGGTGACCTCAGTGATGAAATCCTTCTTCTTGAGAACGGTGTAAGCGACTTCGCAGTCTCCCTCGATAGTTCTCTCGGTGACGGTGAAGAAGTCGTTGTCACGCTCCTCTTCGTATCTGTCCATCTTGTGCTCATCAATGCGTCCCATCTTGTGCAGGTTGAGCTGGAGCATGTTGATGACAGGAGCGCTTCACATTAGTTGACCAGGTCTTCCTCCTTGTCGGCAAAGATCAGGTCCGAAACCATGCCGTTCTTGTAGACGAAGCGGACTGGCAACTCCAGAAGCTCGAGGTGCTCCTTCGAGATGGTGTGCATCTTCAGCTCGTCGATTGGCTTGAAGAGCTCCCGGCGGTCGTCTTCTCCATTGGCGAAGCGTACGTCTCTCAGCTTGAGAATGGCGTGATGATCGTCAGGGATCTGGACGTGGACCATAGCATGGATGCGAGAGATGGTGGTATCGGTTGGGAGCGGGATTCCAGAGTGGACATCTCCTTCGAAGCGGAAGATGTACTCCTTGCGAGGCTTCAGGGGGAGGTCAACTGAGTGGTGGACCGCGAGGGCCACACCCAAAAGGGCTAGGAGGGCAAACCTCATGATTAAGTGACGACCCTTCTGCAACGCTCCTTTTATAGGGAATCTTATCAATTGGACGTTCGACTGTGTAGTCGCTGAGCAGTTGAGTGACAGACGGCTTGCTGTCTATCTAAAGGGAATCAGAAGATCGAAGCCCAATATTCAACGTCTAATTTCTCCATACCGGGTACATTGCTGTCACGCATAAGTGGAACATGCAAGGTCTGATTAGGTTAAATTTCCATGACCCAAATATTTGTAAATAGTTCTTCAGAAGGTTGGGAAGGCTTCATAGGAAGTTTGAGGGGTACTTTTCAATTTTCAGCGCTATATCATATCCTTTAGGGTCTGGTTTGCAGGTGAAGCAAAACTAATACCACTGCAAAGTTTCGGAAGTGTGGTCCTGTTTCCCAAGTGCCGAAAATAGTGTGCATTCATGAGGCGAAAGCTGTAGTAAATTGTTAGGCGAAAGTTTATGGCGAATGGTAACGCTTACCTCGAGCAGAGTTCAAAGATGAAATTCTGGATTGGATACTGGTAAGACCGATGGAGCAGGGGCCATTGAAGTTCTCGCTCCAGAGGACTAATTCGTTTAGAGTGGCTCCAGTCCAGGCGGCACCAGGCCCCTTCTAACGTTAGAGCACGATAATTTGCCAACAGATTCGACTAGAAGGATGAGAACCTTGACTTGTACATCGGCTGGCCCCGCAAGTCATTGTATAGGCCACATCGCATTCAGTAAGCCACTGCGATTCTGAATGGAAGTGGAATGCGTGCCGCATTCTAATATCATTCAAGTAGCCCTTCGTTTTCTGACGACTCTCTCGAAGTAACCCTCGCATCCGAGCGGAAAAATGTTTTTTTTTCGGACAGATTTCGTAATTCGTTGGTCTGGAGTTCGATCGCAAGCAGTTGAACCTTGAATGGTCCAAGCAACACAGCGCTCACATTTCCACGAAATCTTCAACTGATAGTTCTCTCGACAACCATCACTCAGATGAGATGGCTGTCATTCATCGGGTAGATAACAGTAAGGGACAACGACTAACATGTCAAGCAGCAATAATAGTCCCATTACATATGGCAATAAACGTGCATCAGCAGTTGTCGTTCCCTTTGAACGGCACATACGATTGCTAACTGTCCAGTGCAGATATGAAAGCGACTTCAGTTCGAGTTTACAAGAGCTGCGAATCATCGCATGATTACCGTAACCGACTGCGCGTAGCGCTTTCTTTCCGTGGCGCTGATCCCCAGAACTTTTCGACGCCACTACTCGCCTTTTGAGCTCATGAATTTGTTACCGTTGCTCGCAAAAGCGGCACAGCTTCGGTGAACCGAGAGGTTATTCAGCTTCAGGAGGAATTTCGTTGATTGGCAAGGCGAGTTCTGAAGCGGATGACAGCCACTAGAATCGGTGTTCGCTGCCTAAGTGTGCTCCACAGGTGTCCTTCAGAAAAGGAGTACGTCAGTTCAGCATCACCACGCGCACGAATATATAGGCATCGGGAACACTGTTAGGCTGCATTCATAGTTCGCAGCGTCTACCAGCGTTCATCAGCGACCGGGAGCACAGAATATTGGGAAGTAGGAGAGTAGCAAAAGGTGGATTAGGCGTCGTGAAGTTGCGGCGTGTGCAACCGCACCGTACTGCTACAGTATACCTTATATTAAATTGTATAATTCTGTGCTTTAGCAGTTGCGTGGTGCGACTGCACACGCCGCAGTTTCACGACGCCAAAATCAACAGTCTGCTACCCTCCTTTTTCCCCATAATCTCTACTCCCGGTCAATGCTGGAAGACGCTGGAAGACTCTGGCAAACGTCGTATTTTTTTGCTTTTGTGGCTACAGAGTTGTTACAGTACGTGATAGAACATGAAAGGGACATGTCTTGTAAGAATTGAAAAGATAGGTGAAATCATTGACCATTGGTGTAAAGTGTAAAAATTGATGAATTTTGGAAGATGCGAAGATTCAATGGATGCTATGTGTGCAAAAATTTTTCTCTGCAAATCTATAGTCTTATTCGCTAGACCATGTGAAAAGGCTGGGTTTACGCGGATCCAAACTGTTCTTCATGAATTTTTCAAGGGGCAAGCAACAACGATCACTGGAAATGAGGATAGCGCCGCGCGAGTCCACCACCTCTCCTGACAGGCCCTGTCCGCTGCAAACAAAACTGTCACTCTAAATAACTGGACCCTTAAAAGGACATAGAAGGCCGACTAATCGAGATGTATGCAAAACAAATGATAGACCATTCACTCCGCACACAGCAAAGACCAGGGTCCACGGATCTGAGCGTACAGGGGATTTATAGTGCCACCTGCCTTTAACATCGTTGTTGTGCTCCCAACATATATTAGGTAGCCGATTTCTGTAAACAGTAATATGAATATCTAGAAAGAAGACTTTGAGTGACTTTTCGAAGGTATTGAAGCTTTCCTCCATTTTAATGGAAGGTAAGGTCTAAGAAGATGGAGCAGTAGGAGAAAGTGAGATCTGGAAGTTGTTACTGTCATGAAAGAGTCTTCCAGTTAGTGGTTGATATGACAAGTCAAGTTTCGTAGTTGAGAAAGTTAGATGTTGGAAGTCAGTGTCGTACTCCTCATCCTATTGGTGATTTTCTTTGCATAAGATCCACCGATTTTCAGCATCCCTTTTTTTGGCAACCATGAAGTTTCAAGAGTGCTTCTTCATCGCCTCCTTCGTTGAACCACTGGATACAGCAGGGGGTCAGAATTCCTTACGCTACGTTCATAAATTGCGGCAGCTTCCAACAGCGTTGCGAGCGTCCGGCACCAGAGAATAGGAAAGTATAAGTTCGATCTAGAGTCTGTGGGCTTCTACCAGTCTCTACCACCTGTCTGCTACCTCCTATCGCTCCATACTCTCTACAAACGTCTGTTACCCTTCTATGACCCCATCCTCTACCTGCTGTCTGCCACCCTTCTATCGCGCCATACTATCCTCTCCAGGACGCTGATGGACTCTGGCAGGCGCTGGGTTAATATCTGTAGTTCCCTAGTTGCTGAAGCTGCCGGACAGGAACGCTAATGGTCGCTGGTGGACGCTGATGCAAAGTATAAACGCAGCTTCATGATTACACAGTTGAGCCACCCATGTGGGCGTTCAGGAAAAAAACTTCAATTAGGGATTCAAGTTTTTTATTTATTTTGAAGTATTGGTAATCAGGAGTTTGCTGACTCAGGGCAGGTTCACACTCATGCGATCCAATATCATCCATGTGAGAAGTGCCAACTAGACAATGATATGAAGGAGCATTTACCTCTAATCATTGGCTAAGCTTTGGCCACGGCAAACTATCACAGAAATCGTCAGTGAAAGCAGAAATTGGGGCAGACGTATTTGGTCAGTTACACTTTCTTGATTGTTGACTTTCCCGTTTCAGCTCTTCACCCCTAACCGGCGGTACAGCCGTTTTACTACTTCTGATTTCTGAGGCTAGAGACCCCTCGGCTCGTGCTTCGCTGGAGAGATAGTGGGACACGGTGAAGCGGAGACCTATCCTAAATAATTCCTCACGGCGGTGGGTCATGTGCCCTGGTTCGATTTCCTTGAATAGTAACGCAAACCAGACATTATTAAGGCAGCCTTTCATACAAGGGATGTTCGATGAATAGTCCGTATAGTTATGAAGGAAAAGGCACAAAAACCTGGGTATAATTTGTTTTTCAGTGTAGCCCCCCGTGATCTCAATACAGTTGTTTGCCGATAAACTAACCTTTCATTGACCGCTTAAAAACATTTTTCCTCCTTGTCCCCACAATGTGCGTTAAATGCCTTTTTCAGCCCTTCATCGTCATAAAAACGCTCTCCGCGAAGTTATTTTTTTAGGTTCGCGGACGAGAAATAATCACTGAGCATTTTAACAATTTTCTTTCATTTTCTCAATTTTCCTTTTATTTTTTGTCAATTTTTTCAATCAGTAATCATTTTCTCAACATTGTCGCATGCCAGTCATTCGATCCTCTTTCAAAAGGGATAACGTAGCATAGATGATGACTAAATGAAATTTTGTATTTATGCCCTCAGGGAGTGTCATTACCTATTGAAATGATTTAAATTCTTTCGTCACTGCTAAATTACTTCGATAACGAGAATACTTCAAATGGTCCTTGTAAAGTATCGGTGAAAATCGCGTGCAGTAGTAAGTGATCTGCTGAGCGACGGGACCATCATATTCTGAGTTTTTTTTCTCTGGATTTCACGTTTAGTACTCTTAAGCGTGGTGCGCTCCGTTGAGACAGCGAAGTCACTGCTTGGACTGACCACAACGCGTTTATTTACCATTTCCCGACCAAAAATTACACTGTTCTGCTATTTCCAGAGCCTGTTTCCACCCGGAGCAATTTCATAAGCTCCCACATTTTGACAAACTTTTTGCTGTTATTTAGGTAGAGATTGAGGGCAATCAACTTCTCTGGGTAACTAGTGAAAGGCTACTCTACAACATACATTACATATCATTACAGCCATCAATACGTCGAGCGTAACTTTCCGCTCATCTTGCGATTTTTGATTGATCACCCCTCACTAAGGGCATGCATTTACGACCGGTTCACTTTTGATACTGTACTTGGGTACCTGCTCTCGTTATACCGTTCGCTGACACGGCTCTTGCTCTGTTAAATGATGAGTGTAGTCAAAACTAAAAATATCCTTTTTCCGACAGCTTTGTGCTCTTGCACACTCCCTAGAAATTTGCACAGCCTTTTTTTATGGCCTCGTCATCATCAAATAGAGACATCTGTTACTTTTTACATCTCTATTACAACAGGAATAAATTTGTTTTCCACGATTTTTTTACTGCGAAATCTTTTGACGGCGATCAGGAATGTGTACGGCGATCTTCATGAGAGTGTAAAAAACGGCAATGGTTTTTCGCCAACTCCCTCATTGTTTTCCGTTGATACGAAGATTTTTCGTACTCACCGGTCCAACGTGTTCTCTTTTTGGTAGTCAAAAATAGTAAGGTCTCTTGACCGCACAGTAGGGTTAATTCATCCTGAATTAGAACAGGTAACGCGTGAAATCTACGGGCACTGAAAGGGGGGGGGGGGAAGGTAGTGAATGCGCTTTATCCGCTCTAGTGAAGATTATAGTTTCTTGTTCAGTGAAGTTTCCCGCGGAAATGCCTACATTCTGCAGGCGTTTTGAAATTTGTTTTTATTTGCTATTAGTATTTACAGGACAAAGTGCACGATAAAGCCCTTATCAAGTATTTATTGATTTCCGGCTTCAGGTCACGTTTACAAGGAAAACATCTGACTGCAAACAGACTTTCAAAATGTTTGTTTTTTATCAGTGAATGACATAAATTCCTCCGCAGTTCATCACTCCTAGGCGAGACGTTTAGGTCGAGCTAGCCTCCGAAGATACTCATGGGCGTCAACCTTTTGATCTATTTTATTTTGTTATAAGTTATATAATTCCTGTAGATTGCTTCATTTTTTATAGTGCTTTGGGATAGCTATTCATTCCTCGAATTTCATAAGGTTTTTGAGGAGTAGTTGCGCTGTAGTTCAGTGTGAACGCAATGTCAGGTCTAGATTGACTGATGCTCTTTTTGGTGAAGTATCGGAGTTTTTCTTTCAATAAGTAACACCCAAAGTTATTGCCATTAATCAAACCCTTTTTAGTATGCGGTATGCGTTCTACTCCCATGTAAAATCGTAGTGGCTTCTGCGATGCGTCCAGTGCAGTAACTTGGGGGGGGGGGGCATATCATTCACATCACTGGTTGGGGATTTTGGTCAATCCCGTACGGCTCCCTCCCCTCTTTTTAGGATGTTGGTACAACCCCCCCCCCTCCCCTTCGTCTAGTTCCCTTCTCATGGAGCTGTAGATCGGGGAGGAGGGGGGGGGGAGTGGGGGTAAATAATACACGTGAAACGGGAATAAACGGGAAAAACCACGAAAAGTCAGCAGCCTGTCTTGGAAGGTCAAAGGGAAATACGCACCCCTTCCGTTGCAACGTCCCTGAAACAAGAAAAATCAACTACGAAAAAATTTTTCTCGGACCAAAGACGACCGCCCCCTGTTGGGGAATCTCCACCAACGCTGTGCCCTGTGTGAGGGCCAGCCGATCTACAAGTCAGCGTTGTTATCTTCCCCGAGATTCTGGTACCAACCTGCCGTTGCCGGAGGATAGAAGGCTTGGTTTGCGTTTACGGGAGCTGATCTGTGGATCGATCCCCGCCCTGTCGCCCAGTGAGCGTGCCGCTGGCCACCACACCACCTCCTCCTATGCCTTTCTCATAATCGTTTTTGACGCTTTTCATGCTCCCCAGTGGAGAAGCCTAAAATCCCTCTCTTTTATTGAAGCTGGGAATATGATGAACTTATCGGCAGAAAGTTGGGAACTTGGGCTCTTGAGCAACTGCTGAGCAGAACTTGCAATAACTGTTCCGAACTTTTTTGGAGCACTTCTCATTTAATACAGGTTTACATGAAGAGCATACTGAAACTTCGCAAAAGGAAACCAGGAAAAAAATCTTCGCGGCGCTAGAGGCAGACGAAGGTGTGCCTTATACGCAAATGTACCTTATATCTCAGGAAATAGAGTGCTGGAAAAGTACCCTCTGACTAACGTATGCGAAGGGGCAGGACAGGAATTAGAGCTGTTGCTGGTTTTCGTTCCTTGCCCAGGTTTGTCGAACAATAACTGATGTAATCGATCTGTGACAGATTCATGAAACTATGTGCTATTCCATTGTCGGTACCGCGCCAGACTGTGGTAGAGCCTTCAAGAACCAGTTTGTGAGAAATTTTATGGAAGTGGTTCTCCTAGGAACATGTATTGGGTCACATTTTCGCGTACTTTTTACTTCGATAATCTTGTACTCCTCTGTGTTTGTGCTGCGAAACCGATTTCCGCTCTACTTTCATTTTTACTTTCTTACATTTCTGCTTCCGTGATGACCCTGCATTGCTCCAAAAATTTTTGTTCTTGATGTCACCTCACTTATTGTATTTTTATGGAGGCATTCCACGTTTATCTCTTGGACGAAATCACCTGGACCATTGCAGGTTTCTCATTGGTGAGAAACGCATTCTGATGTGATGGGAAGGAACGCCGCACCAACGACAAGAGCGGGGTGCCCCTCTGGAAACCCGCCTATGCGATCAGGGTACAACATCGTTGTGCGAACCCGTGGGGGGGGGTCGTACATGGCCGTTTGGGAGGGGGGGGGGAGGGTCGTAAACGCAGGGTCGGTGAGCACCAAACAGCACAAAAGTGTCATCGCTAAGTTTGATGGAGCGGACGGAAAGCTGCAGAGGACCCGGATGTAAGGAAGACTACAAAATATTAAAACAATTGATTAGCAATATCAATAGTTAGCATGAACTCGTAAGTACGTAGATGACTAAATAATACATCTCAAACAGATTCGCGCATATTTACCTTCCCAAAACCTGAGAAAAGATCGGCTTGCAGATAATAATCACCTAAAATCAGAAGTTACACCTTTCCACCAGCTCTGCGTAGAAGCATAATGCACGGCACACACTCGGACCGGAGCGATCGATGATAACCAAGTAGGCAGCCTTCAGACTTGTCGCGCTTCAATTTCGCTGTCGCTTGTAATTGAACACGCTACAATTACAAGCGCGGGCACTATTTACCTTTACTGCCCCAAACTTCCGAAAACGGACCAGTTTTTGACCGACTTTTTTTCTGCCTTGGGAGAATAGGCTGTTTGCTCTCTGTGGTAGTCTGACCTCCTGAACATGAATATCACATCCGCTAGGCACGAAACCTCCTGGCGCCCGCGCCAAAATACCTTAAATCACCAAATTCGCTGAAAACTTGTTCTCAGGGGTAGTCTGACCTCCTGAACACGAATATCACATCCGCTCGGCCTGAAACCTCCTGGCGCCCGCGCTACAGGCGCTGGCGCCAAAATACCCCTGATCGGCGCCCTTGACGCAGGCGCCAGGAAGTTCCGAGCAAAGCGAATGTCATATTCGTACTCAGGAGGTCAAAATACCCCAGGAGGCAACATTCGAGACAAATCTGGAGCCAGTTCCTGGCCGGAGACTAAATTCTGGATGGTTGGCGCAGTACAGGGTGAATGGTGCCCGAGCGCGCTCCAATTGTCTTCTACCTGATTCTTAGCTTCTCTTTTTCACTTTGACTTCGTTTTTTTCTTCAATAGTTTTCGACGTTTTTGACGACTAGTTTTTTTTTTGAGACGGCATGCAAAATCATTAACACAGTGTCCTGTAACAATAACTACATTGAAATCCAACGTCAAAGTGAAAAAGTTGAAATCCAATGTCAAAGTGAAAAAGGAGGAGCATAATGAGGTAGAAATGAGAACCAGTGAAAAGGGGTTGAATACCGGAAGAAAGAACATAAAGGGAAGCTGGGGTCTGGTACAATTGGAGCGCGCTTGTAATTGTAGCGTGTTCAATTACAAGCGACAGCGACAATTGAAGCGCGACAATTGAAGCGCGGCAAGTCTGAACGCTCCTTATGCTTTGACTCGGGAATATGGGTTCCAAAGTCATATTGAGCCTGTGAATGAGTACCCTTACAATGGCACAGAGGAAGTGGAGCTCTTGATGGTTCAAGATGTTGCATAAGGGTGACCCATCTGGAATATCTTCTCAACTAGCCGATTTTCGGAGCACCTGTAGAACCTGTGGAAAGAGGAACCATCGTGCATCCTAATGGCGTTTTTAGTTTTGCAAAAGACAGAAAGTAGTTATTCTTCTCTGAATATAATAAGAACCCGCTCGCGATATACCACTGACTTGTCCGTAACCCATCCTGAATATTTTACGAAGGAGATTCAGATTGCGAATAGGTAGAAAACGCAACAGCAAAGGCTTCAATATGCCGCCTCCCGCTTTTCAAAAGCCTCACCCCTGAAAGACCAATCCCCCTCAGAAAAAGCTCCGTTTCCACCTGGCCAACAGATCTGCTCCACCGCTAATTTGCCATGGAATCATAACGCGGCCAAGCGCTTGCGAGTCGTTACGTATCTAATCCTTCTCGTCAGAGCAAACAGTTAGAGCCGGAAGGGGGGGGGATCGTACCAGGACCTATTGGTCGTATCAGGACCTATTCGGGATGGGAGGGTGGAGCTTACTGACACTGCCATTTCACACAACACGATGCTCTTACCTGCATGCGATCCGCGTGAGGGTGCTTTCAGTCCTCTGAAGGACTTTTTGTGTAGAGATTATGGCGATGTGAACTTCTTATCAGCGCTGTAATTTTTTTATTTTTGGTAATCCATTACAGGTAAATGCAATTGTAATTTCAGGTTCATCTCCTGTTGGAAAGATGAGTGCTGAAGAATGTACCTGTACTTCAGAGAAAGTGCTACAGTTTATACAGGAGATGGCAGAAGTAAGTTGAGAATAGTAGCTGTTGAATCAATGATACTAAGAAACTATGGAAATTTCGCAGTTATGGAAACATCCTATTTTTTTCGTCACATCTAATCTTTTTGTCAATTAATTTTTTTTTCAGAAATGTGGGGTAACAGACCTAGCTGATCCGGCATTGGCCCAATTTCTCACCGAAAATGATGCACTGAACCATATTCGAGACGAATTCCACTATCCTAAATGTGGCACGCTGCCCGAAGGTAATATCCTCTACCTAAAAAAACTCAGATGAGGCTGTATCCTGGACCCTTTTTAGGGCAGCGATTTTTTTAGCTTGGAATTTTCAATCGGGAAATCTCGGAGATGATGCAATTGTGCCAGTGGATGGTCCCGTTAGGCTGCGTTTACAGTTTGCGGTAGTGTAGCGTAGCGCTTCCAGCGTACCGGAGAGAGGATTCATATCGATTAGCGTTCCCAGCGTAATACGCCAGCGTTTCACCAGCGTTTTGCTAGCGTTTGCAGCGGCAGGGGAGTAGAGACTATGGGAGAGCTGGAGGGTACAAAACACATCGATTGCGCGTCTCTTACGGCCACATAGTCTCTACTCCCCTGCCGCTGCAAACGCCAGCAAAACGCTGGTGAAACGCTGGCGAAACGCTAGCGTACGCTAGCGTTACGCTGGTGACGCTGGGAACGCTAGATCGATATGCATCCTCTCCCCGGCACTGCCGCTGGCGTACGCTGGAAGCGCTACGCTACGCTGCCGCAAAGTATAAACGCAGCCTTACTTCCACGCTTCCTAACAAAACAGAAAAAAACTCGTCCTCAAAGGGGTAGAGGTACACAAAACGCAAGGAACGACGCAAATCACCATTTTTCATGGATTTTCTGTATCTTTCTAATCGAAGCTGACTCTCCTAGCAAATCACATTGGCCCACTTCCTCGGACCAGTTCAGATGTCACCGTCGCTGATTGTTCCTCTATTTCTCTTGTTTCTAACATTGATGGCTCCACTCTAAAAAGGATCGGTTTCAGCTGATCCCAGCCTATGTGATCCAGAGTCTGATTCCATCTATATGTGCGGCAATTCTCTGGGATTGATGCCCAAGGCAACAGAGGAAATTATGATGAGGCAACTTGACAAGTGGGCTAAAATGTAAGTGTCAGAAATCCGAATGCTGAGGCTTATTTCTAGCTACTGTGCACCACCTTGGCTGAACAATTTGTTTCAGGGGCGTTTTTGGTCACAGAAGTGGTGAACTGCCATGGGCTTTCTGTGATGAGCACGCCATAGAAGGTGTTGCACGTCTAGTTGGAGCCAAACCTGAAGAAATTGCTCTTTGCAATGGACTTACTGTTAATATTCACGTCCTACTGGTGAGGAATACTCTCATACTTCGTAAAATCAAACGTATTTGTGGGCTCCCAATAAACCTAACCCAATAATTCATTGCTTTGGTGTAAGGCTTCATGACAGTATTCTGATAGCGCGGTATGTCGTAAGGCGAAAATTTATTTGAACTTCTGGAACAGGATTCTTAAAAGAAAAGTAAAAGCGTTCTCACAGAGTCCATTTCTAGGAATCATAGTCCTCCCTTGAAGGAACATTGCGCAGGAATTAGGGAGGACGGAGACCAGTTATCACTGTGCCTTCTTCACTAATACTCTCCTTCTAAGGCTCTGTAGCACATCCCGTAGGCATAGAAAAGGATTAATGAATAGAAACGCAACTGAAAAATGACGCGAACAGATCAGATTCACTGCCATGTTTTTTTCAGACAGCATTCTACAAGCCGACTGACACACGCCATAAAATCCTGCTGGAGTCTAAAGCATTCCCTTCAGATCATTATGCGATTGAGTCACAAATCAGACTACACGGTAGGACCGTGGAAGAAAGCATGGTACGTTACTTTTGGTAAAGTTGAGTACAGGTTTTACTGGTGTTGGTCCGTTCCTTACAATGTAGAGCGGAGAAATTAAAACTCTTAAGTCCTTTACGCCAACTATGAAGTTGCACAAAGCCCAGGGTCGTCCGAATAGTGGTATGCGACATGGTTGAGATACCCATACCTAAAACTTAAAATATCAGAGTGAGACTGGAAGAATTTGACTTTGACTTCTCCCTTTGGCATAATCCATGCCGAACGGAGAGACTTTTAGCTAACGACCAGCCCGTTGTACCTTCCTTAGTAGCTCACTTCTCTTCTTCGCAGCCCTGAAGATCTTTTAGTTGACCACCTCCGCCCACGCCTGGATTGCTCAATCAAATACAGAGGGCTATCTGTTCAGTGGATAATTATAGAAATTTTAGCAATGAGAGTAACAAGTAAGTGAGGCGTACTCTGTCCGCCTGAGCTAATCTGTCACCGGCAGTATCCTACCCCCAACTTAAGTATTTACTGTCTATCCTAGAGGTAAAATCGAAGCAAAGTGGTCTTTCTGACAAAATGAAACCCGCATCTGGATGTATTCTCCCTTTCTGGCTCATTTTTCGTTCAGGTGTTCCTGGATCCACGTGAAGGCGAAGTAACTTTACGAAAAGAAGACATTCTGGCAATACATCGAGGAACACGGCGAGGAAATTGCCGTCATATTTCTCCCTGGAGTTCAGTACTACACCGGACAACTGTTCGATATTCACGCAATCACTAGAGCTGGAAAAGAAAAGGTACGCTGAATTTGGGTATTTCGCCACAACATGTATCCTACAACCGGCGCTCAAAAGACACGGTATTAATTACTTAAAGATTGCTTACGAGTTTATTAAAAAATATGGTACTGTACGGGAATATTGCCAAAGAACTAATGTAACTCATCCATTTTTAGGGATGCCTGGTTGGCTGGGATATGGCTCATGCTTTTGCCAATGTTCCCTTGCAATTGCATTACTGGGATGTTGACTTCGCTTGCTGGTGTTCGTACAAATATGGATGCACTGGAGCAGGAGGGCTAGCAGGACTTTTCGTCCACGAGAGGTATATTGCACCAAGAGCTGTCATCTGAGTACTTTTTCACTTTTGAGTGAAGGACTCAGAGCCACAGCTAATACTGATCGCATAGATGAGGATGGGCGGAGACAGTTAGCCATTGTGCCTTCCTCACTGGCTTAAAACGACTAATTCAGGTTCAAAACAGACAAACGTGAGCGAATGTTGGGTTGGTGGAGTCATCGAATCGAAAGTCGCTTTAATATGGACAACGGTCTGTTTACAGAATTTTTACTTAACAACCTTAGGGGTATTTGGAAGGGTTCTTGGGCAAAACCAGAAGTACCGTCATCCGAAAGAACAGGAGCTGCTTCTCCTCTTGAGGTCAAGGGAAGGTCCCCATCTGCAATACGGATATTCTAGTTTCGCATAAGGCGGCCTTTAAACACTTCTGCAGTAGCGTTACTGCTACCAAATTTTCTATTATTCTTTCGATGGAAAGACTTTATAGATAAAATACGTAACAAATAAATAAATAAATAAATACCTGATGGTCAAGTGGGCGGAGAAATGGGCGGAGTGACCACTGCCCGCTTTATTATGTACAGCGCGCTTCTTCACCGCCGTTGGTTCCTTCTTTCGTTACCGTATCAAAGGGCGCACCAATTAGAAAGGCATCATAGTCTGTTATCCAGTGTTATCTGCCCTTTCATTATCGTGGAATATCTCTTCAAATGAAATATATTTATCTAAACTGCCATTCAGTTCTTGATCTCGAAGATGGTGCAGCCGGCTACAGAATCAGTAATCCACCTATTCACCTAGTTGTACCTGTCATGGGGATATTAGAGGTATGTTGCAAATTCAACGTGAACGCAGTTGGCACGATGGCTTTGGGCGGGCGGTTAGTGGCAACTTCATTGGTGGAAGAACCGAGTGTTTTGTGGCCAAACACCCTCTCGCAGCATTTCCACCAATGATATTGGCAGTAAGAGTCCGTCCCTAGCCATCGTGCCCACTGCCTTTGAAAGCGTTTTCCATGATCTGTTAAAAATGATTCATTTGAACTATTAGAAATTCAGGTATTCAAAAAAGTATCGTTGGAAGATCTACGCAGTAGATCGTGCTATCTTACCGGCTATCTCGAATTCTTAATCAAGCATTTCTTTGCCGAAAATTCTGAGCATAGGTATTGCCCTAACTTACAAAACAACTTCTTTGCCATTTCATTCGTTCTTGCAGGGCTTCGAAGATTTCCTGCGCTGTTATCACCCCAGGAGAATTTCATGAGCGTGGATGCCAGCTCTCTTTGCGGTTCTCTGTATCGATTGATGTTATCTATCCAGAACTAGTCAAACGTGGAGTTGCGGTGAGCTGAATTTCGTTCCGATTAGTTTTATTGATTATTATTCCATAATATGTGTAAACTGTAAAACAAGGTGAAAATTCCAGATAAGTGGAGCTAACGACAAGCAGTTTATGAACAGCAATGTAATATTTTGAGCCTAAGAAGCGGACTCGGACCTTGTTCATGGTGGCGGCGCTCCCAACCTTAAAATTACCTTTTCCCACTTTGTTCTAAATGTAACTATGCAACCTTCTGTTAGCGGTAGGAAGCGCCGTCAGCATGAGCCCGGTTTGTAGAATGTGTACCGTTCAGGCTTGCCATACCTTCCATTCAAAGAGGTAAAGAGAATGGAAGAGCGATTGAGGAGAGCGCAATCGTAGACTTTCTCCGCCCACGAGATCAGCGCGGACTGTCCCCTTGAAGCAGACATAAACGAGCGATAGCAGTAGACCAAGTTAGTTTCTGCTCGCAAAGATGACAAAATGTGCACAGTTCCCCTCAGAAGGGGGAGGGGCTAATCCCTCATAGAATAGTGCTAGGTACGATATGATACCCTTTGAGATGATACCAGTTTCATTTTGTATAGGTCCTTTGCACGACAGACGGCTCCAGTTTTACAAGGGGCTAGTAAACTACTGTCAGCGGGAAGGATAGACACTCATTTCTGAGGAAATGAGTAAAGGGTTGGATAAATTGAATGCTTCGTGCTTAAATGGCTTCAGCATAAAAAGCGGTTCACCTAGCCCGGGGTAATCTTTCCCACTATTCCCTACCGTTTCTAGACAACTTGGCTTATTTTCGGAACAGTTTGGCTGACGCGCACTTCCGCGCATGGTTTACTCCGCGAGCTATGCATTTGATGACCCTCCCCTTTTGAGATCCTTTGTCACCCCTTGTCAGCTGTATCACTTCCTGTCACCCACCAATGAGGTTCATGTCCAGTCCCCCCTTCCTCCCCCCTGTCACTCCTTGGAACCAACGTCCCACCGTTGCTGTGACTGTTATGAATTTGGTGACCCTTCCTTTTTAAGGCCCCTTGTAAGCCCTTGTCAGGCTGTTATCACCTCCTGCCACCCACCAATAGTGTTCCTGCCTGACCTCCTACATCACCTATCAATTTGAACTCTCTATGACTGTTTGAAGGAAGTTATGAATTTCCGGTCAAACACACACACACGCGCACACGCACGCACGCACGCACGCACACCAGCAGAAAAACTTATTGAATCGTATATGGTGGGACAATATGGTTTCTCTAATGCCCTGCCCAAGTGGGGCTGAAGGAAACGCGAAATTCTCGAAAATACAAACTGACAACTATTAAAACAGAGAGACGAATCCGGGGGATATAAAGGAAATGTAGCAGTGCTCTCGGCATCGATTGATCCGTTTGATAACTGACACATCCGGGCTCTATTCTGAATCGCCGAAGTGGCGAACCTCGCAGGAATGGAAGGCTTGGCTGGCTTGAGCAGGATCAGAAGAGGTGTTTAGCGCAAGCGTTATGCAGTGGTCTAGCAAGTGTGCATTCATTCGTTCGTTTTCAAGGAGTACTAACACCTCAAGTGTGGCATTATGAAAACTTCACGTTCTGTGTGGTGTTTGCAAGGCTGTTTTTGAAGCGTGGCGAACGAATCCTTATTTGGGATCATGTTTCAAGGCATTTCGCACAGCTGCTGTGGGCGGGCTGTTGCTACCAACGTCAGTGGTGGGATGACTGAGTGGGGTGTAGCCGAACGAACTCTCGTAGCCCTTCTACCAAGGACGTTGGTAATAACCGCCCTCCCTCAGCCATCGTGCCCATTGCATTTATCTTCGTTTTTTTTTCAAAGGAGTGGAGTGGATGCATGAACAGTCATTTCAATTTATTACGATTTCACACGTTTTCACATTCAGGTCGATAAGCGATATCCTGACGTGATTCGTGTAACTCCTGTGCATCTCTACAACAACTATGTGGATTGTCATCGTTTTGTGACTGCTCTGATCGAAGCATGTAAAGTAGCTGAAGCATCCCTATAAGATATGCTGATTACCTGTAGACATCTCAGATGCTAGGAGATTAATGCCATTCAATATTGCATATTTTTAATAAATTTGCAACATGAATTTCAACAGCACTAGCGCAGAAAATACGTTTGTTGACCATGTCTCCTTCAGTCACTCAGTTGCTTACGGTGACGAAATTCCAAAACCTCAACGCCTGGCTCAAAGCAGGAACATGTATTAGCTTATATCCTGTTTCCGCAATTCCATTTTGGCAGATCAGTGTCTTGCAAAAATTCTGCCCAATAATGAGCCCAATCCAAGCCAACTTCAGTTGACTGCCAGACTCACTTTCACGGCCTCCGGCACTCGCCAACATCAGCAGAAGAAACGTGAAGACTGAGCATTGAACTGAAAACGCATTCTTGTGGACTTTGCCAGACAATCTGCTCCAACGCAAGCGCGGAGCGCAGTACAAAATTTCCGAGGACATCAAACTTTGTCGTTCCCCGCTTAACAGTGGTATAAGCGCGCGCGCAGCGCCAACCCAGCTCCCTGACACACCCAGCTTCTACAGTGGAAACGACTGTAGCATCGGTGCTCTTTTGAATCAGATTTCGATTCTCCATGGTCAGCTGTGAACTAGATGGGGTTCAATTTAATTGAAGAGGATCCAGTTCTACACAGCTAGTTATTCTCGCGTGAACCATATGACCATCTTACCACTGCGCTTTTTACTTTTTGCCAGTGGAAATTCTTTAGAACACCGATCCCCCCTCAGGAACTACTTCCTCAGGCTTAGCTATCACTATATCGCTACTAGTATCGTTTCAACACTCTCCCAAACTGCTTCCACCTTTGCAGCATCTGAAGCAGGAAAAACAAAAAAAAACGCTTGCAACCGAAAACACTTTCAACATCAACACAAAACCAAATACGACTCCCGCCTCCCTCCAAGCGATCCAAAATACTGACCCCCCCCCCCCCACCTTCCTCGCTCGGTATAGTCAAACCGCGACGTGCTACTATCATGAAATGAAAAGATGTCGTATCAGACTGCTTCTGTTTTGGGACCGGAACAAGCAGCTAAGCAACATATTTCTCAAAATCTCCCCGTCTGCCGTTGGAAAAAAGAGAATGGTAGCGTAAGCATGGAAAATGCTATTGTGTACATTCGATATGTGACAGCAACACATCTTCCCTTATGATGAACGTTGCGATGGCGTGTGAGTAATCGCCCATGCAGCATTGCACGCTTCTATGGACCTTTTACGAACATACATAAGAAACAATGACAATGATTGATTTTCGATGTATATTGGATTGTTTCTTTGCTGCATCAAACACTTTCCACCACTCAATTACTTCCTTCACTTGCGTAGACATGGAGCAATGATCAAGACTTCATTATCAAGGAACTGCTCAATGTCCACATGAAACTCTGTCATGGACTGATGAATTTTGTGCGTTAAAGGCAGTTGGCACGATAAATCGTTATACAGGTGTAGGATTTGTACAACTGGCTTAACAGAATTCCGTGACCTCGGACAGGCGCTGCGTGAAGCCTTTTCCAAGGAGGGTACCTCTATAACGCCCTATTGAGCAACAACTTTACGTCCCAAACGCCTTCCTTGCCCGCCCGCCCACAAACGGACGACCGCTCGTATTCATTCATTTGCTGAGCAAATTATGAAGCAAAGGGATTGGTATGAAGCGGCGGTGATGCTGCATGCATATATGGGTACACATATGCAGCCGTATCTTCGGTAGCGGTGATTGGCAAGATGCGTACGGGAAACTCGTCCGAAATCGATTTACAAGTCACTGAGAACGGAGGCTTTTTCTTCGCCGGATTTTGACCGTTTCACTCCGTTCTTTCGCCATTTCCCCACTATACAGCGCCCTACTAGCATTTTAGGCTAAGTAGGAAACCATCGTGCCAACTGCCTTTAAAGGTCGTCAGTGGGAACTCCCTATTGACGGTTTAGCGCTGCGACTGGATTGTCTTCATCAGAGGCCTGAAAGTGGCGCAGTGTTTTTGAATTGCCTGTCACAAGGCAATTCTAAAACACTGCGCCAGCTAAGATTTTCTGAATTCTAGCTAAAATTGTTCTCTCTACACTGCCAACCGCCTCCACTCCCTACGTTTCGGATAGACTATCAAGGGAACCAGAATATACCAGCATAGGGGACTGGGAAGCAGGCACGCCATCGTTGTGATGATCACAACGGGGGTCGTATTTGACCGCGAGGGAGGGGGTCGTATTTGGTCGTTGTTGGGAGAGGGACTGCCAAAGATCGTACAACTACTATTTCCGTTAGCTGTAGTTGAAAATGATAGTGAAATCCTGACAACCTCCCCCCTCACCCCACCCCCCACCCCCCCCATTCGCCCCCGCCACGGCCCGACAGCGAAATCTCCTGCGGGAACCAAACCAAAATTTTTTCTGGGAATTTGTGGAAAAACTGGATAATCTCAGAAATTTCAAATTTTCGTGTTAAACATCGGTAGTGGAAGCTCTCCCTCCCCGCCTGCCCGCTCGACAGAAATAGTTTGGCTGAAAAAGTGGGTGAAAACTTTTTGCGAGAAAACAGGAAAAGTGGTAGAAAGTAGGGAAAATCTAGGAAAGTGTTAGGCCTAGCCATGGGAGGCGCGGTCGGACACTTCTGAGGATGGGATTATACGAAAGACTCGCAACTATTTCCACGAAAATGATCACAACGCCATGCCGTGCCCCTGCTGTGAAGGCGGGTTCTGCCTAAATCTAATAAAACTGCCTCATCATTACACTACCGATCCGGGCGGCGTCAGTGCCGCTGCGTTTTTCCCGCGGTTCAAGTCTTTCTGCACCAGTTTTGACCAGCGATCAAATGACCACTAACAGCAATTATATTCGTTCGTTCCATTAGCGCTCGTCTTTCCACGCATCCTCTTGTCGCCACTACCGCGCTTCAAGAACAAGTGCTGAGAACGGCTTCCAAACAGTCGTGCGCACTCCTAAGTGGCCGATACGCCCCGACAGTCCGTAATGATGAGGAGTGTATTACTGCAGGAGCGGAAATCAGCCGCTCAGTCACACTCCATATAGTGAATGTGGCAGGGCGTGGCTGCGCAGTTCATCTAGGAGGCCTTTCTCGTGGTATCGTCCATCTTCTTCCCGTCGTCCTATGCTGGATAAGTACAATCACCTTCGTCCAGCACGAGACAGGATGGCAGTTTCACATTAGTTGTCTGAAGCGGCAATTGCCCATCAAGAATGCAACCACCAAATTTAAATAGAGCTCTCAGTCACCCCAACCTGATCTCCGGAATACGGACGGTGATTTTTACAAAATGTGGGACTAGTGCCATCATAACTTAGGAGCTATAGTCACGAAGAGCACATTTCACCGCTTGCATCAGTAGCAGTCTCGTTGGCACAAAAGAAGTCATCACACGCAACAAGAATGCCCAGGTTTTACAAAGAGAGAAGCTGTACTGTATCACCACCGTAATTTGCTACAAAGACTAGCACTGAGCAGATATCCGTGAAGGCAAGTATTAAACAATGGATGTGAGCAGTGTCATGCTCTTCAATTCTAACGTCATGAATGTACGGAAGTCGCTTCAGCTCGGCAGAGAAGGCTCATGTAGTCCGAAGCCGTTCAAAATCAAAAAAAACGATCAGGAGTTGATATGAACCCCCTGTTACTATTTAGAAGCCTTTGCTTCAAACAATGTAAATGCAGAAATTTCAGGTCATAGGCTCCAAAGTTTCGTCTAAAGGCCGTCCCACGGCGATCAGGTATACGAAGTTGATAAAAGGCATGCGGCGAGGCGACTGTAACTGGTCGCGTAAGTTATAGCAACTGCAAACCAGGTTTCGTGCAAATATTTGTAAGGAAGGGGCGCTATAACGCGAATATAAACTACTCTCGCCTCCTCCTTTTTTTCTACGTGACTCGCCATCCGGGTCCAGAATCCGCGCCTTCAGGCGCGCCTTCCACTGAAAAGCAGGACGAAAAAGCATGAAAATCGTCACTTGTACGGTCGTAGAGTTCATATCTGGGAAACAGCTGCGCAGATGAGGGCGTCTTATTGGAGACGGAATTAATAGAGCCCGTACAAACTGGGATCGAAATGGGGTTCTATCTAGGGCAGTTGGCATGTTTTTTCCTGCTTTTTTCTTCACTATCGAGTTACTCAGCACTTTGTCGTCTATATGCAAATCACTAATCAACACTATCCGTGATGGCGAATGATCGCTTGCTTTGCCTCCAACGCAGACGCGGAATACTCTGCGCCATAAGACTGGTATACAACACAAGTCGCTCCTCATCGCTCTCACAACAGGACTAAAGAACCGTTCGGAACGCGGGGCTCACCGTTTATAACACCTTTTACTGTGATTACTTGCAGTAGCACGTCTTAGTACAGAGTTCCCTCAAATCGCAGAAGCCGCAAAGGAGCAATTTCCTGAAATACCTGCTTTATGTAGGCGAGTGTTCTTTTAAAGGGTGCTAAACGAAGTAATGTAAAGTGGAATGGAACTGTGCAACTGCTCAAACGGACCGGATCCTCGAGAACCTCCTTCCGACGAGGATGCAGAAGAAGTTCCGCCGGAGACTTACGTTTGGTCGGGGTACTCATCGCATAAAAACGTTTTCTAGGTGGGATACTCCGAATTTCTCTTCGGGTTGAACCTTTTCATAATCTAGCTGCGAATTTTTCCCTAAACTTCTCCTTGCCGTCCTGAGGACAGGGGGAAGAGGTTGACGCTTCCAATCATCTATAAGAACTAGTTTTTTGCTGAGCTGTCAATTTGGGGTAAATAGTGTGAGATTTCCACTAATCGAATCGCTGAACTATCCGCTTTAACTATTTTACCTATTGCTTCCTTCCACATTGCCCGATGCCCTCTGAGTGCAATAACAATTCGACCGTTGTTCTATTTCCCTGACTAAAATGCCGAATTTCCAGACGCTCTGACGGCGTCGTCATATAAAAGTCGATGACTCGTCGGTGTTGGCATTCGGCTTCGTGTTCGTGTCGGAACATTCTTTTCCATGAAGTTGTTTTTACTTCTGCTCTTTGACTGTTCTTTGCTATTTCAGGGCGAAATTGTATTTGCAGATATGTTAGTAAGACTTCTCGTAGTAACCTCCTACCTCCTATTGTTACCGTTTACAACTGGAACATTTCGTGAGCAAAGTGTAGCGGTAAAAGGCATTGTCAATTGTCGTGGTATCCGTCAGCCTGGAGCATTTGTACAACTTTACGACGAAGATTCAGGTAATATTCGAGTAGCAGAGAAAGTAGCACAAACCACACAACAAGTTTCCACTTTATTAATAACTAGCTAATTCAATCTCATCGAGTTCCTTTTTCGCTGAATTTGCTTCATCTGTTTACAACGTAAAGGGGGAAAGTTGTGGCACTGAAGAGATTGAAGATCTGCTACTCAACATTCGATTTCGATTTTCCTTATATTTCCTTGCCAACAACGAACTCATGGTGCGTCTGGGAATGAAAAACCAAAAAAAACTAGTAGTGAAATGGTTTCCTGTTAGTAGTCCGCTGATTACTCGCTTCGCTGTCCCTGAACTTCCAACTTATTTATGTTCACTTTGCAAGTTTTATCAAAGATGTCCCAACAGTTGTACTAGGCTGGTTCCATGATCGGCGCTCATCTAGGAACATGTACCACAAGTTTTTTTAGTCTCTAGCGTTAATCTTGCACCCTTACCTAGTCTTATCCTTTCGGACGTCGCTATTTCTCCTACCTAAGGTAACAGCGAAGTCCGTTATGATGACCCACCTCACCATCCTTACTGGAACCTCAAGACCTCTTGCACAGGTTACTAAAGGGTGTTCCAAAGCGTGATTTCACCGTTGTGTCGTACAAAGACTGATAGCATGATGATCCATCCAAATCACTGATCTTCCGGCGATTTCGGCTACCATGATTTCGGTTCACTTTCCAGAGCTCAGAATTCGCCTAATCCTCATCCAGTGGTTTGAAGAAGAGGACTTCGAGCATTCGAAGAAATTCATAAGCTCCTTTCTGGTCATTCTCCACTAAACACCCTTCTTCTGTTACACAAGCCATATTCTACCCGCCTTCTTATAAATTAATATAACGACACTCACTCACAAGCAGGTGAAATATTGAAATGGACCAAGCAGTTCCGACAAGGTATAAACGTTAAAAAGATGGAGTCGGAAGGTTAGCGCAGAGGCCGCGACGATATTATCAACGCTTGTACATCGAAAAAAGAAATTTGTAGGAGGGCCAAAGGAGTCGCTAATAGCGAACATAGTCCTGTGAAATCTATTTTTCAGTGACTCCGCCCTGCAGTAAAAAACGAAGGCTGCACGACGAAAAAGAATGAAAATCGTTACTTGTACGTCGTAGAGTTTTATCACGAAATCAGCGGTGCGGGTGAGGCGTAGTGTTGTCGGACGGAGTTAATGGGCTCATACAAACTGGGATCGAAGTGAGGGTTCTGGCATGTTTTGGTTCCTGTTTTTTCATTTTCATTGTCGAGTTACTCAGAGCTAATGCCGTTTGGAATCCAGAAATTTCGGCACCCCATTTTTAAATTGCCTAAGACACCAATCCGCTAAAAACTTGTATATAGGGGTAGTTTAACATCCTGATTACGAATATGACATTCACTCTTGCCGCTGGCGCTAATGGATGACACTACGATTATCTGCGCTCTGCTAAGGCTGAGCCCAGGAGGTAATCGTAGTGTCCTCTCTTGGCGCCAGCGACAAGAGTGAATGTCATATTCGTAATCAGGATGTTAAACTACCCCTATATACAAGTTTTCAGCGGATTTGGTGACTTAGGCAATTTAAAAATGAGCTCGGTGCCGAAATTTCCGCAGTCCAAACGGCATTAACCATTACTCAGCGCCTTGTAGTCTAAATGGAAACCCACTACCTGTGATGGCTAAGATCGGCGGCTTTGTCTTTTATTTCCCTTAGGTAATCCTCATTAAGCCCACGTACCTCGGAACTGCACATTTCTCCGAACGAAGGGTGTGACAAACTGAATCGCTCAAACTAGTGCATGAGCGCTTCGGGTGGTCAGGATAAACCCATGGAAGTGCTGAGTGGCTTTCTGACACCACTCCGCCTTGAATAATGTAGCAAAAAGCAAAGAAACTGAGTCGCATTCATACCAGTTAATGTCCATATTCAGTGCCTCTGTTTGACGACGATGATTTACTTGGTTCAGTCACGGCTGACGAACATGGTGTATTCTGCGTTCGAGGTTACACTACAGAGGTGAGCAACATCGAGAAATGATAGTGCTGTTAGTATGTTGCACAAATTTGTGGGTTTTTTTGAATTTCGCGCCAATAGTGATTTTTCCATTTCGAACTTTTCGATTTTTCGGTTTCGAAATTCAGTCGTGTACACGGTAGTGCAAGTAACGCGGAGTCCATTCACTGGCAGTCCCGGCCACTGTTTTATATCTAAAATAATGGATAAAAAGCGTAACTTCTGCTGTGAAAAGAAGTGTAACTCAAGGTTACCATGGAGCACCACACAGGGAAAATCAGAAGACCAATGCGACTGAAGGGATTAAGTCCAAGTTATTCACATAGCAGCCCAACTCACACCATGGTTGAAGTCATACGCAAGTGTTTTTCTGAAATAGGTCCCAGTGCTATCGAAATGGCAGGACTGCATTCGAAACTGACTTTTGCCTGAGAGCGAGCTAGAGTTTACGTGAGCTGTGAGAGGCAGCCTCGTCCAAGGAGGCAATCCGCGTGGGACTGATAGTCCCACGCGGATGGCCTCCTTGGACGAGGCGCTTGGATTGATCAGTTGTGCTTCCTGACTGGAACCGATTCGCCGGAATCTACTCGCTCTCTAGCAATATCACCTTGCTTTCCTGAAATATGGTCGATGGAAGTTTTCACTCCCTCGGAAATCTTCTGGAGTTATGTATCCTCATGTATGTATCCATGTATGTCTCTCGTTGAGTTTTGTGGAGAAGCAGCTCCTTCTTCTTCCGTTCTTGTCCAACTGCTGTGGGGTGACCCTTGACCAAAGCTTTCTAACGGTCGTGGTTCCTCGCATCGGCCGCGGAAAGGCCACCGTTCATCTTGAGGTGCTGGCCTCAGCATCTCCGCCACTAGCGCGGATCCGAGATACTAGAACCTTGTAGCTCTGGAGAGAGATATTCCATCAACTACGACTGACGAAGTAGTTACGGTGGTGCGCATGTACTCCGTTCCGTCTTTTTGATTTTAATCCTGAGTGCGGTTGACGCGCCTTCCAATTTATTTTTGAATCTTTCCGAGCAGTACGTCGTCAGCAGATCCCAGCGTCAGAGGCAGCTCTTTCCGAAAAATCTCGTCGCGTAGAGCATAATGTACAGCGGTGGCGAAGGAGCCGATCCCTGATGCTCCAGTAGCAACCGAAAACTGCGGAGGCGTCCGGAACGGGGATGTAGAATTCAACTAGGTCAGTTGAAGTGCTTCAATGATTGCTTCAGGATCTTTGATGCAAATAGCTTCCCCAGTGAGTCGACGCTGCACTCGGTCGGAATCTTTCTCCAAATTCAGAGAAGCCGAATAAAGTGGCTCATTCCACCATCTAGCCTTTTCCATCAGAGTGCAAGCAAAGTAAATGGCGTCCCTGGTTCCGTGTTCAGGATAAAATCCGCGTTGCGTTCTATTCTACTGACTATTTTCATCACTCTACCGTCCAGCCCAGGTTCAGAAGCTTTGAGAGTGTAGCATCAGGCGAATCGACCGATACTTACAATCAGTGCAGCTGGCAAATCTCCATTCTTTTTCGTCCCGGCATGGCGACACTCTTTGGCCAGTCCGTCGGGATCATTCCTTCGTCCTGGCTCTTGTGTGAGATAGAAGCTGAGAAGATAATTACTGTACACCTTTAGAATGTCATCTGAACCTGTGACCTTCCCGTTTTCCACCTTCTTGATGGCACCCTCGGCGGAACGTGGGATCGGCTCTCGAGTTGGTGGTTCATTCTGAAGCGCCGGATGCGAAAGCACGACGTTGAAGATCTTCTGGTAGTTCCTTGCCAGTACTTCCTAGATCCTTTGAAGTCTTAGAGGAGCCTCCGTGGTAGCTTTGTTGTTGGGGAATGGGGTCGTATTTGGCCGCCAGGAGAGGGGGTCGTATTTGGGCTGAGGAAAAATTTATTTTGATAGTTGATTTTTCTCGCTTCACGGACGTTGTAAAAGGGGGGGGGTCGTACTTGCTCATTGTTGGGAGGGGGGTCGTATTTACTTTCTGGCCTTTCTAGGAGTGGTGGTTGACTTTTCGTGATTTTCCTGTTTCATGCGTACCATATACCCCCTCCCTCCACCCCGCCCCCTCTCGCTCGACAGCAAAATTTTTGGGAAAAAGTAGGGAAGTTTCGGGAAATTTTGGAAAAAGGCAGGAAGTTGGGGAAAATCTGAGAATTGGTAGAAGGGGGGTCGTATTGTCTCGCGGCTTTTCCTGTTTCACATGTGCTATCCCCCCTCCCCCCCCCCCCTTCCCCCCCCCCCTCGCTCGACGGCTCGATTAGATGAGGGAGAGGGCCGGAGGGGCGGGGGTCGTACCAACCCCAAAAAGGGGGGGTCGTACGGACTCGCCTAAACTCGCCAACCAGTGATATGCTCTGTCATAAAGTCCTGTGCTGCTCTGAAGGGGCTTTCGCAATGCCATAAATCCGCTCCTCTTCTTCTTTGGTGTGCAGTCCGGTGGGAAGAGTTTCTGTCTTGCTCTCGATGGCGCTAGCAGTAGTCGTTTGGCTTCACGAAACCTCACTCTAGCTTCTTCCGTGTGGTCGAGATCGCAAGTTTGTACTTGTCATTCTTTGCCATGTTTCAATTCCTTCCTACATCGGATAGTCCGCGCGGGGTCTTATTTCTCCGTCGATTTTCTTCCAGTTCTTTTCAATGTCATCGGACGTGGCCTGTTCTACTAGTGGTTCTCGACATCTGGTCCCAGCTTAGCAATGCTTTTCTATCTCAAATGCTTTCTGTCGACTCTTGGCTGCTTGAAGGCAGATGAGCTAGTTGGCATCTTGATGGCTGCAATATTAGACAGTGTTGGCTGTTGGCCGTTACCGATGGGATCATCTTGCAGTCTAGCACGTCACATCGTTGGCTCCTGGATGTTGTCGATCTGGGTCTTACGACCTTCACTGTAGCACACGAGGCGGAATAATTACATCTGGAAGTATGAGTTGATTACGATCAGATCCAATGCTTGGCATACCCCAATATGCGTGAGCCATCTTCATTGTTTATTCCGTAGGCAAGTCGTCCTTACATGTCGTTGAACTGGTGGTTGCTTGCGCCTATGAACCCACTGAAATCATCCATGACGTAATCTTCCACAAATGAAAGCGTGAATGTTACATCAGCGAGCTGCTCTCAAAGATTGTCCTTGTTGGCACTGAGCAGGTTCCCTTGCGGGGCGTATATGCTTATAATGGGTTGATCGTTTGCTGCATATCATAGTAATGTTCGTCATGCGGTCGGAGACTCGTTGCGCCTCTCGAAGTGTGTATTGCAGCTACTGCGGCACAGCAACGGCGACACTGTTGACTTTAAACCGTCCTCCATTATAGTACAGATTATGCTCCGATCCTTTTCGTCTAGGCGCCTGCTCACTACGTCTTTAAAAAGCGCATATGTCATTGTTCCTTTCTGTCAGTATGTCACCTGGGCAGAGCGGCCGGTCACGGGGCCAACGTTGAGTGGCGATCGTGTTGGTCGTGGTTTTGTCTTTACGAACGACTTCATAGCTTGTTTGTCCATTACAGTGGACCTTCTAGTTTGGCCCATTGCGGTGGACGACTTAGCTATGGGGTTACTTGAAAACTCCATTGGTCATGATTGTGCACAATTTGAGAAGTCCTCCATAGCGAAGTTCTATCCTCTGAAGTCACTCTCCGCGTAAGCTTGCTGTATCCACCACTCCCTCCCCACGTTGAGGCCGCGGATAGGACTTGTGGGAGTTGTAGAGAAGTAGCTATTAAGTCAATATTTCAGGTCACCGACATCGAGCCGTACATATACATTGAACACAACTGTGGTTATGAAGGGTTAGATAAAAAGGTGAGAGGCTAACTAATCCACTTTGTATTCTTACGTGAATCTTTTTCGATGTCAGGATTTTTATACTCATGAGATTCCCGCGGAATTCGTGGTAAAGGGCAATTACTCCAAGAAGATCTACCATTTGGGCGATATTGAACTGCTCACTAGAGGTCTGTTTCTTGGACATACTAGCCCCCAGATTCATTTCAACATTCCGGAGCTTTCGGAACTATAGCGCAAAATAGTGGTTATAAACATCATGTAGAAATTGTTAGAGTTTTCTGCCCTTGTTCACAGTGCAGAATCAGAAGAATTTCTTATCAGACGCTCCTGTTCAACACTATCAACGTGACACACCACTTCATGGGCATCCACATTATGGAAAACTCTCATTACATCAACAAATCATCCACTGCATTCCACTTTACGTCGCCTACAAGGATTATTATGACCGTGTGAGTTTCCTTTCAAACATAACTGTTCCAATTCTGATTTCAGTGTTACCGTACTATGTACAGGGGGGGGGGGAACTTCCTTGACTTTCGAGGCGCTATAAGTTACACTTTATAAATTCTGATCGGACATTTCTACCACCATATTAAAGAGCATATTAAATACTATCATGATACTCCGCCACAGCCTTCTGGAGGAGCGCCATCGAGAGATTCTGCCACGCGACCGTGAGTCGGTACCTGAGTTCAGCGAGATCGTTGATTTCTCCGCCACTGTAGACCACCCTATTGAGCTCCGCCCGAACCAGGTAATTGAGGGGGTTTAGGTCAGGTGACCTGCTTAGATATTCCACCTTCTTCAGGTACTCAACGCCCTTCCATTCCAAGTAGGCGAAGAGTTTTCCCAACGCCCTTTGATTCCATGTGGTGTCACCCAATCCTGTAGCAGTACAAAGTTTCCAAGAAGGTACGGGCGACGACATGTGGGGAGGATATTCTTCTCGAGTTGCTCGATGTAACCGCCAGCGCTCACCTTCAGTCCGGGGTCCACGAAGAAAATATCGGTCTTTCCATTCCAGGTACGTCCGGTCCATACCATCAACCCGCGCCTTGGCGACTGCGGTGAAGATGATGTCCTAGACCGTAGCGACGTTGTCGGAGCTGCTCGATGTTGGAGGTCTTCCAGATCGAGAGTACTGGTCTCCAGGTAGCTATCCATGGGTGACTCCACACTAGAAGTTTCGCAGCTGTTTGGAGGTGACATGAATTCCAAAGGTCTTCTCCAGTCAGGCTGCGACTGGAGATGACTTCATATTTTGGTGTACATGAAGGTGATGGGCGAGAGCCAGCTCCTGCTTATAGAGGAACATCTTGGGTATCTTCCGCCCTGGTACTCGTATCCACGTCCTCTGTCTGGGCTGCGAAAACTTTGCTGATATGACTCGGTCGAAGTGTCTTTTTTTTGCCCCCCCCCTCTCTATATCTGAGTTATTTTTTCTTATACTGTTGGGGTGAAAAGGTAAAGACCTCGCTGTTAATCAGTCCCTTTTGGGATGCGGCACGCATTCTACTTCCATTCAGAATCGTAGTGGCTTATTGAATGCGATGTGGCCTATACAATGACTTGCGGGGGCCAGCCGATGTACAAGTCAGTGTTCCTTATCCTCCAAAACGAATCTCGTACCAATAAACGGTCCCGTAGGATATAGGGCTTGGTGATCGAGCTGGAGCCGGGCCGGGATTTGACTCCCGAACCGTGCGCATGCTAAGCGGGCTGCTTGCCTGTACACCACCTTCCGCCTGAACATCTTAGAGAACACGAACATGAACATCTAGAGAACAGTATGATCGCCATATAATCACTGATATGAGACCGCTCGCTGGGCAATGGCTTTCGCGCAGTACGCGTGCAGCCGGCAATTAAAGAACTTGAGAAGCTCATCTCAAAAGTGGTAGTTTCCTATAACTTTTTTCCCCCTCCCGAATGGTATTTCGGGGTGGGGAACATATGTCAGTCCCATGGAGAAATACTAATAGAACTCTAGAACTACGTTCACTTTGGCGGCAGTAGGTAGATTCCCAAGAACTTTGCTTTGAACACAACTTCATTTGCTAGCACACCAACTTCAAACCAGGGCGTCCCAAATCCCAAAAGTATATGCGCAAAAACCACGGGAAAGCATCTTTTTGGGGACTGATTTCAACAGAATAAATCAAAAACCTATGGTCGAGTTGTCAAGTTTCCTCATCGGGCTCGAATAAAGGCCTGCAAACGAGATGGGGTACGAACGCGCTTCTGTGGGCCTTTGCCATAGGATTTCTATAAGTTATGGAGAATTGTTCCGTGGGGATGAGAGCCGACTCACTCTGAAGAAGAGGATGCCGAGAAGTGTAACCGTACTAGTGAAAGTAGACCAATCAATCCATTTATGATCACCACCCCCCACCGCCCGCAAAAAAACCAGCATATCTATCTTTGGTCAGGTTATTTTGAAGCATACTGAGCATGTCCCAAATTTCGATTGCTTTTCTAGCAACCTAATAGTATCTGGGGAACCGTGCCGTGCCTTCAGATGGCCCTTTGTCAACGTACAAAATAGCTCTGCGGTTAACTGCCTTGATATCCATATCTGCGGGTGGGGTAATCCGCCAGGCAAGCGCTACATTTTGGCCGTGAAGAAAAGAGTTTGTTTGCCTAGACTACCAGCAGAATAGAGACAGAAGTTGCAAACTGGGGTGATGGCTCCTGTTGGGCTACGAACAAGAAGGAAACCCTAACTTCCGGATGAATGCTTTTATTTTTTACTAACAAACTTACATGAAGTGCATTACGTAAGCGTTATGTGATCTCCACTACTTCAGGTTGTCATCGTTGGTGGAGCGCCAAATAAAACGGTTGTGGAACAGCAAGCCTGGGATGAGCTACAAAAAGCAGTTACTCCGGTTGAAGGTCCTCCTGGTATTCCTCCGCTTCCTCCAGCTCCTCATTCGCCAGATATTCCTTCAGTCCCACCAGCTCCAGGCCCACCTGGACCTCCTACTCCGGAATCGAGCACCACTTTTCCTCCCGATGTGACTGATTCACCCTACTACACCGAAGCCCATGGGTACGTGACTCCACGGTACGAAGCCATGAGAACCGACGCTGAAGTACGAGAAGAGGACGAGCAACGGCGTAGAGAACATGAACGATGGCAGGAGGAAGAGGCAAGACGAAGGGAACAGGAAGAAGAACAGCGAAGGAAGCATGAGGAGCAAAGGAGATTGATAGAAGAACGGAGATTGGAAGAGGAGAGGCTGAGAGAACTTGAGGAAAAGAGGCGATCGGAGGAAGAACTGGAAAGAGAGCGAGCCCGCATAAGGGATGAGCGGTTGCGATTGGAAGAACAAGCAATAAAAGATCATGAAGACCATGTCAGAGAACATCGCCTGAGAGAAGAAGAAGAAAGGAAAAGATTAGAAGAAGAACGACGGCGTCTGGAAGAGGAACAGAGAATAGCTGAGGAGGAGCGCTGGATAGCGGAGCGAGAACGTATGGAAAAAGAAAATGAAGAAAAGGACAGAAAGATACGAGGAGCACCGCAGAAAGGAGGAAGAGTTAAGGGAAGAGGAAAGATTAAGGGAAGAAGAAAGACGAAAAGAAGAGGAGCTACGGAGGGAAGAAGAGCGAAGACGTAATGAAGAGCTTAGAAAGGAGTTGGAAATGCGAAGAGAAGAACAAAAGCGTCGAATGGAGGAGTTACAGAAGTTGGAGGACCAAAGAAGGCAAGAGCTCGCAAAGTTGGAAGAAGAACGCCGACTGTGGAAGGAGAAGCTGAAAGCAGCTGAAGAGGCTGGAAAAAAGACGCAGCTCCTCCATATCATTTGCCATGACGGTGAAGTGATTCGAACTCCTGAGGCTCGAAGAGAGTTCTACACTGACGGCAGGGATCCATGCGAAGAGTCGAAAAACGTTTAGCATTGATTGAACGAGATCTTACTTACAGTTGTTTTAGAAATCTCTGTGATTATATGTACCGTGCTTTCAGTTTTCAGTTATGCTGCCGAAATAGGAGCTGGATTGCTCTGTTTTCACTGTTTGCTTTGTACACGTGCTATAGAACAGATTAATTTTGTGAATAGGAGTAAATATTGAAGAAAATTATAATATTTCCTCACACCCTAGCTGTATCGTGATATCAATCAATCAAGAGACCGTTGTTGACGGGTTAACCATCACGTGCCGAATTTGGTTCGAATATTGCTGTTTCAGAGCCTCATAAAAATCTAAATATTGCACAACACAAAGATGCACCCTATCTGATTTGAGAAGAAAACAAATAGTCGGAAAAAAGATCACTCGCCGCGATGAATTTGGTTGCAACGAAAATGGTACTCTGCGAGTGCGGCCCGGGATGCGAAAACCACGTAGGAATTCGAGGATAACTTGATCGTGGGAACTATCCTTAACACATTGCTTACCGCCCTACTGCGCGCATCTCCCGATCATTTTTTAATTTTTTATCAGTAATTCGTCAGGAATTTTCCACCTATTTTTAGTCGCTTACAAGGTGAGCATCTTCCCTAACATAGAACATGTTGTGAGAACATTAGATCACAAAAGAAAAGCCAAATCATTCTGATGAAACACCGTCTAGAGACGAAATCATGACACACCATGTGTGTCACGCAGTCCGGAACGTGTTAAAGACATAAAGCACAACTGTTCGCTACTCGGTATGAAATAGTAGCAGGGGTGCTATGTGGAGAAAATGGTAAAAAAGGAAGTGAAGTGGTCAACAACTGCAAAAAAGTCTTTGTTATCCATGACTCAGGAAGCAAGTTCTGAGTCATGGAGAACGAGTTCCCTCTTGACGTCGTGCCATTCATCGCTACGTTAGACACGGCTGCATGTATGTACTCATACACTTCTTACCCCTGAGACGGAGTAGGCGTGGCTTGAAGATATAGAATGGGTTACTCGTGGAACATTTCAGTTTAAAACAACTGTCACCTTGGTGTTCGACAAAGACATGATCACATCGCTCTCAGATTGAAAATATTTCACAAGAACTTTGACCGCTGATCGTTTAGAGTCAAGTACGCAGCCACGCCCACCGCATCTCGGGGATTCGTTGTATATCATGCAGCACCATAGCCGCTTCAAATCAACCCGTTCGCTTCATATTGTAACCTTGACCGCTTCATATTGTGCTGATGCTCGTATCGCTTCACAAAGAAGCGATACGAGCATCAGCATCGGTCGGACATTTGTGGGCGGGCTGGTGCGGTGGGCGTTCGGGTCGGTGTGCTGTCTTAATAGGGCGCTATAACGGTGCTTTCTTTGTAAAAAGCGCCACGCAGCGCCAAACCAGGGGCATGATTTCTGTCCTGCTAGGCGTTTCAATCCCACACGGCTTGACAATTTATCGTGCCACTTCTCTTTGACTTCAGATTGTCCGTAGACGTGATAAAGGTCGTCATGGCTGAGTTCCGGTCTCCATTCCCTACGTTCATTCTTTCCTGCGGATCTAAGATGACCGCGCATATGTTGATTTAAGAATTTCGGGAACCACCTCGATCCTAAATTATTAGAAAAAAAGCCACATAACTAGACTATGGGGAGCTTATTCCTGACTCATCGGTTTCGCAGTTGAATTCATCAGTTTATCTATCGGAGTTTTGAGAAGGAGCCCACTCACAATTAGAAAGGACCGATAAAGTGTTGTGACGACAACGGGATAAATGTTCCCGCGTAAACTGTGAAACAACGTTTAGGGCCGAACTAAGTTCTTCTCTGCTTCCTGGCCTTCTTAGATGAATTGAGTCGTGTGGCACCCATTGTTTTCGGTAAGGTAGTCGTCAATAGGCGTTATTCACCGCCTACGACCCTGAAGAACTGATGCATCGATAGGAAGAATAGGCAAACCTTTGGCGAGACTGACATCGGGTTCTAACTGTTTCGCCAGGGGTACAGCATCACTGGGGGGAGAATCATCAAGACGAGACCGTATTTGGGAAACGGGGGTCACATCTAGGCCTCTATAGGAATATTCGACAGTCGCATCTGGCCCCTATAGTGCGATAAAATTTTTTTCAGTTGTTGACTTCCCCGATTTTTCCTTCTTCAAGTGCTCTGTACCCCCCCCCTTCCGCCTCTTTTGGCTATGGAGAGGGGTCCACAAGAGGCCTATACAACCACTGTTCTTGACAGTTGCTTTCAAGATTGGCGATACCCCAGACCGACGACTTCCCCCTTAAACCTTCCATGTGTCGCCACACAACTGCAGTGAAAAACGAGAAAAGTGGAGGAGCACGGGGAAACTTGGAAAGCTGGTATCCAGGATGGGTTTAGGAACCCGTAACAGAGAAATTAAAGGGGAAATGGACTGCTTTTTTGGAAACCGTAAATCGATCGTAGTGCATCAAATTGACTGTGAGCTTAACCAGATGAGACTTCGCGATCTGAATAGCGGGATAAACTCAAGGAGAGTTGGAAATAATCTTCTAGAAGCTACTAGAAGTATAGAAGGTGGAAAACACACCGCCAATGAAGTAGTGCTAGTTATACGAATACTATCATTGGCACTTTGAAAAATATATAGGTCCACTGTTTGCAGTCGGCTCCTTTTGGCTTCCACGGCAATATCGATTGATAATGGTCGAAAACATCTGAAATTTGTTCAGCTTTCATGACAGTAAACCAGAATGAGCATTGGTTGGTCACGTTCTCTCTTCGGAATTACTACTAGATGTCAGGCCGAGCACTGATTTTATTTGCCCTAACCGGTGCTCTTTTAGGGGTAGGTACTATTCAAGAACCATACATTATTCCAGCTAGGCCTTTCAAGGTTGTCCGGAAAGTTCTGCACGTTTTGTGTTACTATTTTTTGAACATTCATTGCTGATTAAAAACTCATTCTCCCTTGCGTCTCAGTAGTACATCCTGAAGAGAATTCTTTGCGCTATCTGATGGTATAACTGCCGTTTCACCATTGCTTGATGAACCCCCTTTTTTAAGATTTTTTCAAGCATGTGAAAAGAGCACTTCGGACGATTTTTTTCGACTATAAATTGGGGCAATCCGCAATCGAAACAGCTCAACAAATTAACCAGGTGTGGGGGCCCAATAGTGCTAGAGAAAGCACTGTGCGGCAATGGTTCAACAAATTTCGTTCTGGAGATTTCAGCCTTGAAGATGAACCTCATAGCGGTCGACCTAAAGCAATATCTGACGAGGAT